CCAACAATCAAACCGTCGCAAGGAAAAGTAAATCCCAACGAACACCTATCAAGTTGTCGCAGCTGCAAGCGAGAGAATCCGAAAATGCGAAGAAACGACCGAAGCGTCTTTCTAACCAGTCGTAGCTGTACAGCGACTGAAAGTTGGGCAGACGGGATCGCGGTTGATGCACCCATCCATTTGCCGCCAGAGCTGCTGTAGACAGGGAAGCGCGCCTTCCCTTCGAAAGATAGCATCGCTAGCAACTCTAGCCAGCTCACTGGAAACACTGCGTTCGAACATGCATCTTGCGCCAGAAGAAACTGACACACCGACAAGACAAATGACTCTGGCAGGCCCCCACATTTGGCAGCGACAAGCCGCTGCCAGTCAACTGGTAGCTCATCAGATAGATCGACGGTACGAGGTAGACCAAGCGGCAGATCTTCGACTGGATCTTCTTGAATGACCGAGACCTGGGGAGGCTCAACAATGGTACTCGCAGGACCGCCGGTGAGGTCGGCGATGCCACAGTATATTTCGCGAAGAGCCCGTAGACGAGCAACCTGTTGGTGGTGGTACTCCAGCGCACTTGCATGCGTGATCTGAGCCTGTAGCGGGCGATTGATGTTACAAATGCCTGCGACTGTGTCGGCATGCTGATTCCAGGTGGCAAGCCAGTCATCCATGGGGCCATCGCTCATCAGTAGATCCAGATGCGAGGGCGTATGTTGAATCTGCAGCGAGCCGACCTCGATCTCTGCTAGGTGCTGTTCTAGTTGACACCACAAATCGAAGTTTTCCCAGGAATGATCAGAACGTCCCCCTTCAATCAGACCTCGAAGCTGAGCAGCAAGTTGCTCCGCATCACACCAAATCACCGTTGTACAGCCGTGTAGCCGAACCCAGGCGACCGATGCCAGCAGAGCCGAAAGTTCAGCGCGAGGCACCGTCTGCGAGATCCCTGTCAACGGACCGCAGGCTATGATTTGACCAGAACTGGCATTGACAACACCCCAGGCGGCTAGAGCGCAGTCGGGAACATCGCGAGAGCTGCAGGAGCCATCAGTAAACAGGTGCTGGCAGGTTCCGGAAACAGGCTTGGATAGAAACCTCAACGTGTGATCTTCTATGCCATGCAAGTACTTGCGGAAGGTTGCTAGAAAAGGATTCATGGCCGGCAGCAAATGGTGTGTCAGCGAAGTGGGCAAAGAGTCCCACTCATCCACAATCCAAGCATGTGGCTCGCGAACCTTTGCAAAGCAAGGACAGACACACACACGGTGGCGAGCGTCATCGGGAAGGTTGCACGTGGTGCAGTATCCAGTTTGCTCGAGATCGAACTTAGCCTGGGAGGCCCCAAACATGTTCGCCCCACTTTGAAGAGCTGCGACTCGGGATCGCGTGATCTGCGGGAGATGAGGCCAATCCAACCTTACGAGGCATGGGTCGAGGCTAAGAAGATCATGCATGGTTGTACGGTGCTGATGAACACAAGCGACGTGCTGTAGCCACGCTCTCTCGAGCAGCATGCGCAAAGCTGGCAGCGGCAGGCTGAGAAGATCATGGCACAAGCCTTCCTCGTCAATGACAAAAGGCGGGGTCTGGATGCTCCATTGTACCAGATGCAAAAGGCTTAGGATGGTGGAGAAGGGGCCGGGCAGGGTCTGGCCATGGAATCGTGAAAGAAAAAGCCGCCACGACTCCAACAACTGCGGTTGCTTTCTGCAGATTCTTCGGAAAGTGCACACACAATCCCACAGTTGATAGAAGCCGGGATCAGCCTTCATGTTGCCTGACAAAGTGAGGCGAAGAAGTGGGCTCGCGCCGCTGCATTGGACCTTCAGTGCCCGAACCGCCTGAGTGCGGAGGCGCTGGATGGCAGCTTCGGGCATGGGGCAATTAGTGGCTCCATGAAAAACCTGTTGCCAGAATTTTGCCGGCAATGCACGAAGTTTCAGGGGCATTGGCGCTGGGGAGCGTTCGAGGCGACGAAAGACTGCGCCAAGAGCCTCGCAGCGGCGAAGCATGAGATTGTTGCGAACCCGCGGCCCGAAACTGAGAACGCCGCCGAGTTCACAGCAGACAGGAATCGGATTGAAGCCGAGCTCACGCAAGATGAGACGTTGGGTCGCGTCCGTTGCCCAAGTGTAGGTCTTGGTCCTGTCAAGCTCAAGGCCTAGGGCTTCGCAAAAACACTGGGTGGCGTTAAGTCCATGCGCCACTTCATAAGCCGTTGCTCCCTGCCCAAGGAAGTTGTCCACATAAGTCAGGCTGCGGATGGAGGGTGTGAACACCGTCATGTACCGGTGGTACATAAAGTCACAGATGCACATCGCGACTGTGCTCAATGGGCATCCTTCGGGGAACCCACTGGTCGAAAGCACCGGTGCGCTCACTGAGCACTGCACCACAAACCTTCGCTGCACCCGACTCAGAAAACGAGACCACGGGCTTAACACTGTGTCCGGTACGCCAAGCCATTGGGCGGCGTGAAAGAGCGGTTCCCGCGGAAGGCGGCTGAATGCTTTAATGAGATCAGTGCTGAACCCACTGGACGGCTCAAGGCCCTGTAGGGCGTTTTCAACCTGTGCTTGTAGGCAGAGCCAAACCTCGGCAGTTTCCCGGCCAGGGAGAAAACCAAAGGCGCCATCTGGCATGATATCACGGAGCCATTGCAGGATTTGGCGAGCTCGGATGCCACTCCAAGTGCGGTAAATCATGCTGAAAAGCACAATGGGCCTGTATCCCTCAACATCTAACTTGCCGTTCCGCTTATCAAGGGCATGCACCAAGCCAATGAGCAACTGGTCTGGCCATGCGGCGCCAGCCTCAATGCTCTGGAGCAAAGCCAAGAGCTCGATGAGCCGAGGTTTCGGCATGTTGAGAAGGTCTTCTTTGGCGTAGCCATCGGGACCTCTGGCTGCGTGTGGCTTAAAGCGCGCGACCGCTTGCAGCCATTGCGAGGATGTGATGGGTGGCAGAGGGCAGGAATGCCGAGGGAGGAAGGCTTGGGTGAATCGCAAGATGCGCTCCCACCCCTCACCGGCGGGAGAACTGTTCCAACGCTGGGACCAAGCCTTGATGAATTCGGCCTGTACTTCGGATGGTGTGGAAACAAACTGAGTTTGCTCAAGCTCTGAGTCAGTAGTGAGAGGGGCAGTACCACCAACGTGGCATGTGTCGACAGAAACGGGTGTGATGGCGACTGGCTGCCCATCCAGCCGCCATTCAGAATGTCCGGAGGTGATCAAGGCAGAGTCCACATGTATCAGGCGGTTCTCCAACTCGCACGCCAGAACCCCATAGCTGCGAGAGGAAACCAACAGGTCCACATGTGAACCAGGAGGCTCACGTAGCTCCCGAAAGAGCTGTTTACACGAGGCATCGTGCCGTTCACGGAGTATCTTCTGGCGCTTGCGTATGTGCCAGCTTTCCAGCTTACGAAAGTTGTCTCGGAAGTCACAGAACACCGCAACAGCAAGAGTGGCTGATGGGACAGAGTCGGGCAGTGCCAATGGGCTGCCTAGGTGTTGAACAGGACGGGAAGTCCACCAGACAAAGAAGCCACCATGAAAACCAGGGGCATTGCGAATGGAGGCCCAGAGGGAGCCGCGGTAATCCAGAGCAGACTCCGAGGAAGATAGCCTTTTGAGAGCGTGGCATAGGCTTTGCAAGCGCCGCAGCTGCTTGAACCAGCGATGCACTTCACGGGAAACAAAATCGTGTCGGAGGGTTTCCTCACCAGCTCGGCTTGAGCGAGCATGGATGATGGGTGTATTTCTCCGAACAGGGGCGGTGAGCCGAGCGCGACCATAGCAGGCTTTGGGAAGACGGCCGTCGGGGGTAGACGCGAAGCCGTCGAGACTCCGCTCGAACAGGCGAGCGTGCTGTGCAAATTTCTGTGTAGTGTCATCCGTGGGTGGCACAGCAACATGGGTCTGGGCATGATAGCGCTCCAGTGCGATCTCCGACCAAGGGATCTTAGAAGGGAGAGGCCAAGCCCAACAGGCCTCAGCACTGGGAGCAATTCGAAATTGAGCACCGACGGTGGCGTGCTCCATGAACACATCGCAGACCGAAGCGGCAGTGCACAAGGAAGCAGCCTCAGGAGAGAGAAAGATGAAGTCGCGCCGAGTGGCGCCCTTGCAAGTAGGTTGGACAGGGGAGGCCCAGCGTTGCCAGGCCAAGTCTTGAATGTCAATCCAACCTTCTTGTCGCCACAAACCTACCTGTAACAAGGCCTCTTGATCAGCATTGAAGTCGCCGACAATGGCTCGCGGCCCGGTTCGACCAAAGACAACCTCACGCGTAAGTGGAACCAAGAGGGAGTCAGTGGACGCCGAGGCTTGTGGGTGGTTCTGGCTATACCCGTAAATGTTGGCAACCAGTAAAGGGAAGCCCGGCACTAGATGTTGCACGATTTGTATTCGCCCCGTGTCGTACAAATCAGCAGACAGGTCAATGCTGACCTCATGTGCAGGCCAGTCCGACATTGACAAGACGCCGGTCCAGGAGCCGGCCCAATCACTGTGTGCGCGCAAAGGCGCAGGTGCACCCGACAGGGCCCGTATGCTGCGGTTCTGGGCTTTGCCAAAGTATTGAAGGGCCTTCTTGGATGGGGGGAACGTGACGGCAGATAACTGGGTTTCACTTAGGCAGTGTATACCGATTCCTTGCTCGACTCGAGCAGCCTCCTTGCCCCGGAGGCCGGACGGATTGGATGTTGTGAGCCAGAACAAGTCACCTGGCCCGGGGTTAGAGGCTTCGCCAATGCGGCAGTGGATGAAGCGGCAGGGAGCTTGAAGAGCCTGCACGGGAGGCAGGCCACACAGGACAACGAAGAGCCAAAGCAGGGACAACCCAGGAAAGGCTGCCCGAGGGCAACGGACTGAAGAAATCCATCGTTGGATGCGGAACGTAGGCAGGATTGCACAGGCAACAAGCCCAATGACAAGACATAGCGATTGAAAAAGACAAACGACCAGCCTGCACCCTGGGGCGCAGCTGGGCCGGGCTAGTCACTCGGCTCGCTGCTTTTTGGCCAACAAAGCCTCAAGTCGGGAGCTTTGCTCTTCGAGCTGCTTTTGGAGCTGTGAGGAAATATCAAGGCCGAGAGAGCCAACCGCAGCTTGCACACACTTCTGAACCGAATCGGCCTGCTGGGAGACTTCCTGCTTAACTTGAGCAATCTCAGATTGCTGAGCCGCTACCGCAGTTTGCACGGTGCTGACCTGCTGCCCAAAGGACTGGAACCAGCTTTCGAACTTAGTGCCCTGAAGCTGCAGCTCATGCACAGTTGTTTCAAGCTTGGCAAGCCGAGCATCGTGCGCTGATGTGTGATCAGAGACGGCCTGAGCAGATGCAGATACCTGTTGCTGAACAAGTTCAGTAACCCCGGTGGCGAGTTCAGACCGAAGCTGTTCGAACTTGGAGGTTGTGGTGGATGAAGTCGCTGGTGCAGGGAGCCCTGGTGGCGCTCGAGCAAGGGCCCAGGGATCTTGTCCATTGGCCCAGGGGTCGGGATCAGCGTCATCATCATCCTGCAGAATGCTGCGCTTGGTGCGATTCGAAGCTGTAACAGCTGAAGGTGGTTGCTGCAGGGCTGTATCACGCACTTTGCGGACCAAGACATAAGAATCGCCACATGTCAGGGCTGGAGCGGGCGGGTCTTCACAGGCACCAACAATCCAAGCAGCACCCTCGGCATCGCCCCGGGCGGGCTGCAGGGGCTTAGCTGACCATTTCCACCCGCGCAAAAGGGAGTGCAGTTGTTTTCGTTGGCAACCAAATGGCAGGGGATGCAGGCGATAATGCGCCTTGACGAGCACCTTGGCAAAGTCACATCCGGGTCGCAAGGCCTCAAAGACGCCTTGCTCATCAACTTCTCGAACGCGAACCCCATACCGCTTTCCTAACCTTGCCACAGCAATCGCCTTGGCGCAGGTGCGCAGGCTGTGCAGTGCTTTGGCGTAGTCGGCTTCGGGAAGCCAGATGACAGCGAAGCCGGGATGCGGTCCTGTCCCACCTGGGGCTCGCGGCTCGGCATAAAAGCCTCGAGTAGCAATCTGTTGAAGATGCGACAGTGCAGAAGAGGGCACGCGAATCATACAGTGAAAGGCTTGGGCTTCAGAGGCTGAGGCACGCCCGCCTTCAAGCTTGGACCACTGACGGCTCCAAAGATCAAGGATCAGCCTATCAACTGAACCGGCCTCCTCGACAGCAGGATGGAAGCGCCCACAGTTTTGGGCACAAGCTTTATCTCCGCAGAGCGTCAAGGCTGGAAGGTGTTGCAGCAGAGCCTTGATGGGCCCTTCAGTAAGCGTGCGCCAATCCAACGCTAGCTCATCCCGATAGACTGAGATCCGACAAGTCAGAGTTTCAAGGTGCTGTGCCTCGGCAATGCTGGCATGAGCTAAATGCACGGGCTCATCTCCAATTTGGATGAGCGAGCCCCGAATGAGGATGGCCTCATCGGTGGGACCGTACACCGCGGGGAACTGCAAAGATTCAACTGGCGCAGATCCACAGGCCTCATTGGGCAGCTCAGTCACGCAGACGAGTGCGAGAGCATCAACACTCAATGATTGGTAAGCCTGAAGAAACGGAAGGGCCTGCTGAGCACTGCAAAAAGCAACGCCTTGAGTCTGATGACCGACCTCAGCAAAGGCAAGTTGCGGCAGTGGTCTGTCGTCTTCTGTCACAAAAGAACCTGGCGTAATGAGGAGCTTGGCTGGGTCAACCTGCAACGGGACAGGATGCGACCTAGGCTCTTTGTCTTTGCGCTTTTTGGCCTTTGCATTGGCGACTGCAGTGCCAAATTTGGCATGCGCTTTGGCTTCAATGTGGGCTTGAAGTTCATCCTGTTGGATCCAGCGGAAAGCATGTCCAGGCTGGGAACCGAGATGCTTCAGCTGAGGCCAGCATTGTTTGAGTGCCAAGGCCTTGGCAATGGGAGCACCGATTTTATTCACTGCTGCGGTGATGCGTTCCTCGACAGCTGACTGGGGCACACCATGCTCGACAAGGAGCGTGCTCAATTTCTGGCATTGCTCTGCAGACAGCTGGCCAGCTGCCCGAAACAGCGCAGGTGCATCTTTATGCTTTTGCAGAAGACTGGCAGCCCTCTCCGGCACACCCTCAGGGGAGTCATGGATGAATGCAAGAGCGTGCTGCAAGGCATTGTAGCCGCATTCCTCGGGACCTGTTTGGGGGAACCATGTGCATGACTCAAAGGTCGTGACTTGCCACTTGTAAGCGGCTGCAAGGATCTGGCATAGGCGTTGCGCAGGCTTCAGAACTCGGAGTGACACACCATCAAGGTAGAATACCTTAACAGAGCCGGGCTGGAGGACCTTGAAGCCGAGGCAGGCCCAATGCCCGTCAGCGGCATATACACTGGCAACCTTTGGGGAGTCGGTATGCAACGGGAAACCCAGGGCATCCCAAGATTGGCCCGCAGTCAAAAGCACCGTTGCAAGTGAGCACGGCAGGCAATGTGCGACAGATGCAGGAACACTGGAGTTGATCTCAGCTAAGGCTGCATTAAGCTGGCCATCGGAGACTGCCGGCTTGGGGGCCGATCCAGGCAAAGCAGGAAGAGAACCCTCTTGAGCAGTCTGCTTCTTTTGCCGAATCCTGACAATGTATGGAGTGCTGCGGCCACATGGGTGCAGGAAGGCTTCGCCCGGAAGAGCTCGGTCAGCATCCCAAACAGCTATTGAGTAGCCGGGCCCAAGGCTAGCATGCAGGTGCGAGGTGAGCATATTTGCCTTCCACGGTTGCTGGGCGGGTGGGAGAGGGCAGGCTTGAGTAGTCTGCATGCACTGGACCAGCACATGACCACCGGTCAGTAACGAAGGCACAGACAAACAGTCCTTGGCATCTTGCAAAAGCGCTCCCTTCAAATCAGCCAAAGCCTCTGCAGGCGAGTGGAGAGCCGTCTCATGAAAGTGCTCTGCAGCCCATTGACCGAGCTGTGCAAAGATCCAAACTGCTTGCATTGGTGCACTGGCGCTTCCGACCAAACACAGACCGGCCTTGACTTCCTGTGCCCACCGAATCCGGGGCGTCAGAGTGTTCAGGAGCGCAACTTCTTGCGGATGCAGGAAACGCGGCTGCGAAGTGAGCCCCGAGTGCACGCCCACCTCAGTAAAGCCCTCGTTGAGAAGGCGCTCGGCGGAGATACCTTGGCTGCGGCAGTTGCAAGGGCAAGGGCTCAGCGTATTGCCCCAGGAGTGCCGTGCTGTGGGTGCCTGGCTTTTTGCATCTAGCAACTGTACTGATGGCCCGGGCTGGGAGTCAGTAAGCTTCTCTTGCAGTTCTGCAGGCCATTGCAGGGCAGACTCGTCTTGCTCAGGCCATACGGGCCATTCAGGAATCACATCTTGAATGCAAAGAAGTGGCGAAATCTCTGGGAAGGGCCGCAGGGAAAAAGAAGGCATCGAGGATGGGACTAAACCATACCACAGGCGGTTACGGCGGGAAGCCCAAACCAAACCAAGCTCAAGCTCGCAGGAGGTCAACCTAAAACCCGCTTGCTTAGCGAAAGCGTGAAGCCCATGCAGGAAATGACTGTGCTGGGTCATGTCTGCTGTGCACTCGATGATGATGCAGGCGGCACCTAGCCTCCAACCAATGCGGAGCACGTGGCGCAACACGTCACTCGGACGCGCCACTTCAATCAAGCTGGCAACAACTGTCACGGTACCCGTCATGTGCTGTAGTGAGTTGACTTCCTCATGGATGCGAACCTGAATGGATCCCCACCCAATATCCCCTAAAAGAACTCGGCCACCATTGGCTTCGGTGGCTGCGATCGCGAGTGGGTTCTTGTCAACATGTAGTACGGCGGCTCCCAGAAGCCGTGAAAGTCCTAGCGTCATGCCTCCCACACCACTGCACAAGTCAACCACCATCCGAAATGAATCCAGCAACACGGGTTTTGCTGGGAATATCTTAGAGTCTGCTGTCCGATGTAACGACGCCTTGCCTCCGGAAAAGCCAACGAACTGAAGGTCATAGACGGTGTACTTTCCAGCCTGCACCTCGAAGCCGGAGAGCACAAAGGATTCCTGGGACCACAGAGCCTGTCCTTCTGTGGGATGGCATCCAGTAATCAATACAACACCAGACCAAAGATCAGAGGCTTTCAGAGTAGCAAAGCTAACGTCACCCATGGCAGAAAAGGTCCCCCGAGGATCAGCAGAAACTAGCTCCACTACTGAGAAGACTCGGGCCCAGAGCTTAGGGTTTAGGGTTTAG